GGGTTGGAACCTTCCCTGGGTGGCCTTGGGGGTTCCTGCAGGTCACCTTGGGATGCGAAAGGAGCAGCTTCTTCCAGGGTGAGTCAGGCATCTGGGCAGCTCAGAACCAAGTGTGTCCCTTGCTGCCCTTGACCTGTCACCTGCTCTCTGCAGGCTGAGGTGGAGGCGAGGTAGGGGGAGAAGGGAGGAGTTTCAGCACCGCTTCTGGAACTACTTCTGCACCCCCTTCTCCCAGTGCGAGGAGAAAGCCCGGCACCTGCAGGAGCTGCTGGAGGTGGCCGAGCAGAAGCTGCAGCAGACCTTGCGCAAGGCAGAGACACTGCCGGAGGTGGAGGCTGAGCTCGCCCAGAGGATCGCAGCCCTCACCAAGGCAAGTGAGCCAGGTGCTTAGGCCTGCTCTGTCTTCGGCCCCCGAGCCCTCACCGGGCCAGGCCGTGAGTGAGTGGATGACGGGGGAGGCACACGGGGCTGAGAACCAGAAGGCCCTTCCTGACCTGTGACCCCAGAGCGTGTTGCCTTGTGCCTGTCGCTCCCTCATCGCCCCACAGAGTTGTGGTGATCCCAGAAAACCCAAGCCAGACTCACTGCCATCGAGTCGATTTGACTCATCATGAACCTGCAGCACAGGATAGAACTGCCCTGTGGGCTTCTGACACAGTAACTCTTGATGGGAGTAGAAAGCCTCGTCTTTCTCCCTCAGAGCAGCTGGTGGTTTTGATCTGCCGACCTTGTGATTAGCAGCCCAACGTGTAGCCACTACACCACCAGGGCTCCTGATGATCACAGAAGGTAGTGTATAAACATACTGTCTTGAGTGGAAGACACTATTGCTGGAGCAAAGTATTTTTATGATCATTTACACACCATTGTAATTCATCACACGGGCATAGTGGGCTGTGCATTGGCCTGCTACCCCCAAGGTCAGCAGTTTGAAACCACTACAGGGTTGCTCTGAGTTGGAACTGGCTGGATGGCGGTGAGTTTGGTCTTTTGGAGAGTCAATTATGCCTTTTGTTTGAGGCTGGAGTCAAAAGATGAAGCCTCTCATCTCTGGAAAGATGCATTCTGAGAGGGGGTATTGTCAAAGTCAGTACACCCCTGAAAGGATGTTTGGGCCTAGCACATCCTTCTTCACCAAACGGAAGCTTCCAGATGTAGTGAACACCCTGCTTGCCTGAAGGCTGCAGGATGGGGCATAGGGAGTGCCCACCCTGGTTGATCGGTTTTGACTCCTGATGACTTCGTGTGTGTTGAGCAGAACCACACGCTGTAGGATTTTCATCGGCCGGTTTTCCAGAAGTCGATCACTAGACCTTTCTCCCGAGGGCCCTCTGGGCGGGATTGAACTATCGAGCCTTTGGTTAGAGGCGCAGTCATTGTTTGTGCCACAGGATAACCAAAGCTCCGTTTTACCTAATGGAGAGAGACCTTTATGGAGTAAAAACTCCTAAGAGGTGTGCAGGGTGAAAAACCATAGCGTTAGAGAACTGCATAGACACTGCTAGGCAGTGGGTTAAGGAGGGGAACGTAGGAGTGTTTTGCACCTTTGGGAGGCTCTCATGCGGGATCAATGGAGTTTCCCCCAGCCCCCAGAGAGAAGGAACCCAGGTGTAGGAAACACCAGGCCCCTGGGCCATGCTGAGGTCCTCCCCAGCTCTGTCGCAGGTGCCTCGCTGTCCCTCAGAAGACTCATGACAGTCTCCTGCTACTGACTCCTCTGGGACTCCTCCCATCTGGCCTTAGTGCCCACATCTCTAGCACGCTGAGGGGGCCCGTGGGCTCTGAGATCTCTACAGAGAGCCTCAGTGGCGTGACACTTAGGTCTTGCTGTAAGATTTCAGCCTAGGCACTCCCGGGTGGCAGTTCTGCTCCCTCCCATGGGGCCCCTGTGGTCCGGAATGCACCTGGCAGCCCACGACAGCAGGGATTCCATGGCTTCTGGGACCGAAGGGCTAGTTTGACTGTCAGCAGAGGATGTGCTTCTGTGTGGGAGGCTGCCTGCCGCAGCCAGCTTAGCTTTCTCCCTGACAAGAGCGCTGGCCTTTCCAGGCAAGTCAGAGCAGGGGCGTGCTGAGGAAGGGTTTTCTCCCTGTCAGACGTGTGTTGGGAATGCCTTATCCGCGGTGACAGCGAGGTCTTTTTCTCTGGAGAAGGTGGGGGTGGGGGGGCCCTCTGCCTGGTCTGCTTGCACGACCATGGCTAGCATGACTTGGGAGGAGTCCTGGGGTGCAGTGGTTAAGTGCTCTG